TCTTCAAGTAATGTGCAGCCCCTAGGGAGACAACTCAAAACACAAAGAACAGGATGCAATTCAGGGCAGAAGTGGAGGAGATGATCCTAGAGTGTTTAGTATATCACACGATGGGGAGGGGTTGGTTGCAGAGTAAATGGGCTCTGGAGTCAAGAGAGAATTCAAGTCCCGGCTTTACCACTGATTAGCTTTTTGACCTTGAGCCTTGACATGGTTTTTCTAGGCATTTGTTTCCTGAAGTGTAAGGTACTTTCAGGTTCATAGGTAGTTATGGGATTTGGATGAGAAGCACTTGGAATACTTACACAGGTAGTCTTAAAACAATGTAAGCATTCAGTGCATGAGAGCTGTTATTTTATAATGTATAACATGAAAGCATTCTCAACTTCAAATAGAATGGACTTAAAGTTCATGGACTTTGCAAAATTGAACTTAACTCATATATTAACCACTTATCTAGCCTTTCTACTTTCTAGAATTCTTCCAAAATATCTCCCTTTCCAAATCTGCTGCTTATAGTACTTGGGCAACTATAGGGAAATACCACGTGGGGAGATGTTATCTGGGCTAAGGTGGTATGATGTCACAGAACTATCTTTCCCCTATATGAGTTTCATTTAAAGCTGATGGGTGTATCCTAGATGAGAGTTTGAAGAAATCTGACTGACTTTTGGGTCAGAGTAAATTCTAGAATTAAAATAGATTTTGTTCTTTTCTTTTTTTTCATTAGGAACAAAAGTAAAACCCAATCAGTATCCTCAAAATAAGAAGAATATCAAACCTGAAACCAAAATATAGGAGAAATTTCTAATTGATTACAACTTAATTCTAAATTTTTTGTGAAAATATTAATCACAAAAGTTGTCATTAGGATCCCTGCCATCCTTTGTAAAATAAAGTGGGGGAAAAAAAGCCATCTTGGGTTTCAGTACAAATTTCAAACATCATATTTTTAAAATTTGGGAGAGATGAGTAAGTTCAGTTTTCCCACTGGCCCGGACTGGAGCACCTTTCTTTTGCACAGCTCTATCTCCACTAACAAATGCTCTGCAAGCAGATTTTTTAGTCAGCTGTGATCAAACAAGAAAATCCTCAGGCATGCCAGACAGTACAGTGCAAGCTCAGTGAAGCATGCCAGAGAACAGCCTCATTGAGGACCCTCAGGTGGTAGGGTCTGTCTGTCTGTCTGCTTGCACGCAGGTACAGAGCAGCAAGGCTGCAAGTCCTGTGGTTTCTCTTTGGGGTCTGTATCCTTTCCTTTCTCTGCCATTTCGCTCTTGGCCATGATTATCCCAGCCATCACAGGGCTGGTCTCTAGCCCCTCCTTCTGATATTAGTTGTTTCCAGTCATTCTCAAGCCCCCAGACTCTCCTTTCTGGAGCCTGGATCCTCTGTGGGATAATTCTCCCTGTCCCATCTCTGGGCATTCTTTCTTCCTTCTCTCAAAATGATCATTAAGAAAGGATCATGAGGCCCAGATGGGATGGTTTCAACTATACATTGCTGCTGGAGAGCCCTGCTGTCCTGGGGAAAGGGTGCCTGGGACTAACTGTAGCACACTTTGGAGGCCCACCTGCCCCAGCCCACCTGTCCCACACAGCAGGTCCTGCCCACTCCTCTTTCTAGCATCCTTACTCCCTCAACTCTAACCTCTTCCATCCCTCTGCCTCAGAGATTTCTGTTGCATATTTTAAGTTTTTCATAATGTCCAGTGCTATTTTAATAAATACATGATTCTAATTACATACTGTATAAAATACTTTTTCTGAAATTGGGATATGACTCTCAATGCTTCTCATAGATATTTCCATGTCTAGTAAAGTTTATTAGAAAGAGATGTATTAATGGACTATATAGTATCTTTTAATCAAAGCAAGTAGTAAACTGACTCAATTGGCAAAAAACTGACTTTTTGACAAAATAGCGATGGGTGAATAGCAAATAATGCATGAACTATTCCTATTTCTTATTTATTTCAACCATATTTAAATAAAAATAAAGGAAATAAAGATAGAAAAACTTCACTTATAATCCTAGCTCCATATAATTACTGTTGTTATTTTCCTCGGTTCTCTTCCAGGCTCACACTGTGACACCGTATATTTATAAAGCTGCTGGATGGGTTTCCTTATGCACTTCTGTTGTATAGGAATTCTTATGAAAAGTTGTATTCCATTTGAGGATTATACTTCAAACTGGCTCTTAATGGTCTCCACATTTAACCAGCTGCATTAACCAGCTTCAGTCTGTTATCTCAGAACTCTGGCTGCACCAATGTAGTATTGAGATGGATCTTTTTTTTTTCTTTTGGTGGTGATGGTGGGGCTATGACTTTACTGTCAGCACATTAGAAGAACAGCTGTGTGATACTAGATTTTCATTGTGTGTTTTATTGTACATAGGGCGTGTGGCTATTAATAGGCCTTTACACCTAAGAGTTGAATTCCCTCTTTGTCTTTGATTTCTGTGTCCTGTTGACATCATGGAAAGTTCTCAGTTCAAGATAGGCAATGGGTTGGGCATGAAGTAAGGATCTACCTTATCCTCCAAGAGGGACAGTAATGCATGCATACCCCGGACTCAAGAGAGTAACAGCTTCTGCTGGCCTCTCCCTCTTCCTAGTTTTCTTTCTGTAATTGCAGATGTCCTATCTTGGTGTTTATGAAATTTTCCTGATTACAAAAATCATCTCAAGTGCAGGTGAAAAATACAGTTTCCTGGGCCCTTTCTAGACCTATTGAATCAGAATTCTGAGGGATAGCTTGTTTTAAACTGGCACTGTGGTAACTTGTACAGTCCAGGCAATAAACAGCAGTTTATTTGAAGCCGATTCATAGCTGCTGGCTCACACATTTGCTTAGCCCACATTCAAAGAGAGGTGGCCAGCAATTCCATCCTCGGGCAACCAACAGCTGGGCATACATTCTGGCCTATCCCACTCCAAATATAGCTGTGGCCATGGCTATGTGAAAAGTAGCACAGGAGAGCAGGCCATGTGGAAGATAATCTTTCCCACCCAATGTCATTATACAGAAGACTACCACAGCCTTACGTCTGCTCAGTGAAGATGAAGAAATACAAAGGTGGGCTTATTTTCTCTGTGTCACTCACAACTTTGGAGTTTTGTTCCTCACTGAAATTATAATTATGTACAGGGTGGGGTGTGTGTGTGTATGTACTTAGAGTTTTTTCTTATGCTTTTTTCATGTGGTTGTTGGTTTATTTTTAGTTCAGTTTATACACTGAAAAATAGCTCCCTCACTAATCCCAGTGGTATTAATTTGAAAGATAAGCAGAGTTTATGCAACTTTAGGTCATTGCCCAGGTCTGGAGTGGTATACCTTGACATAGGCTAGTCCCAAAATGGGGATTTTGAGTTTACACTCACTTCCCAGGTCCCTCCCCTTGCCCTGGGGAATCAGAGCCCTCTCTGCTCTCCCCACCCCCATTCCACACTAGCGTACCATGCTCCACAATCATCTTTCCCTCCTTTTTAAATTCTCCTCCTGAGTCAAAAGATAAAATAGAATATCAATAAAGCATGACCCACTAACTCTCATCTTTCAGATTTAGCAATCTCAGCTAGCTGATAGAAGGAAAGGAATGGATGAAATGAACTCATGCCAAAGTGGGAATGACTTATTGATGACTTAACTGCATTAACAAACCATTCCAAAGACATTTATATTTTAAGACAATGCATGTTAAACTAAAGGAATAAGTCTGAGATACAGGCTATCAGGCAGCCTTAAAGGAGATTGAAGGGAAATTTTGGGCAGAGGGATCTTCAAATCACACTACAAGGGCTGTAGCTCACTCTGTTACCTGAGGTCAGCCATTGCTCTTAAAATTTGTTGATACGGTGTTCAGCCAAGAAGGCCAGGGAAACGTGCTTGGGACTGGTTAAAGTGCAAGTTCAGGCCTTTCTCCCTATCCTCTCAGTCTCTCTCATCTCTAGTAGGTCATGATATGTGTGTACTCTGCACAGTAGGTTGTTAAGGGAGCAAACAGATCACTTGCCAGTACAGGGCCCAGCCCAGGAGAGGGAGCATCTCTTCCCCACAGATCCAGAAACTTCACAAACCTGCAGTCAGGCTCATTACATTTTCATTATTTAAGGCTGCTAACTTGTGGACTAAGGGGTGCCAGTTAAGGCCCTTTCATGTACACAGAATCAAGGACCTTTGGCACAGGCTGTTTATCACTGTGTGTAAAGGTGAAAAATTGACTGGAAGAGAACATGGTATTTTATTTTCCCCCATGTCAGTTGGAAGTTTAGTTTCCATGTCTTTCTGTGCTACTGACATAATAAATCTAAATCCAACTGGGCAGGCTTTTTTTCTTTATTGAAGTATTCTGCATTAGGAAATGAAAATATTTTACAGAGTAAATGCAAAATGAGTAATAGATCAAGCACATTGTATCCCCACCTATAAATTTAGATTCAAAGCTCAGTCATTCATCAGTTTGTGTGTTTGAAAAGCTTCTTGTTTGGGATCCTTAGGCATCGTGACTGCTCGGTGATTTTCAGTCTTGGCGACAGACCTATGGAGACAAGGCTGGATGTGGCTCTCTTGAATTTTTTTCCCTTCTTTCCAACCCATTTAATACTTCATATTAAATAAAAATTTGAAATATTGGTAACTGAACTTTGATGGGTCTGATTTCCATCTACAAGTTGCATTGAATGATAGTGAAGAAGCTTTTGGGCTCAAGGTCAATGATTAAATATTCCAAGAGCTCTGTTTTCCCCAGTGCCTTTGTATTTAGTGTAGTGTTTTGAGTGACTTTTTTGAGTTAGAATGTTTTAATTACTTACTCTTCAACTATATTGAAAGAAGCAAGATAATTTTATTATGAAATAGTGAACAGTTTATCAATAATAATGATACTTCCTGGGTGTCAGGCTCTGTGCTAAAGTTTTTATGTGTATCATATCTAGTTCTCACAATCACCTCATGAATAGTTGCTATTTTTTCTTTCTTTTTTTTTTTCTTCAGGTAGGAAACTGAAGTATGGGGAGTTTTGGTGACTTCAACAAGACTTAACTGGCTAATGGTGCTTCTGGGCAGCATTTCTGCACAGTATTCGTGCCCAGCCACGGAGCCACAATGCCTCTGCAGCAATAACAGAAAGCCTGGTCGGATATACTGCTCCAGGGTTTCTGGGATTCTCAGAATGGGGCCAGAGAGAACATTTGCCTTATCCATAGCACTTGAATTTCTATTTGTAATGATATAAAGTTAAAATTCTCAAAGTCCTAATGAGGTTATTCATTTCCATAAATTTATTGCTACTTTGAAAAAATTGTCAATTAGACTATTAAACCTGGTAGGGAATTTAGGGATTATACTAAAGAGATCATTTCACACCATCCCTTTGTTTTTCACATAAGGAAACTGAGGTTACATGACTTGCTTAAGTCATAGAGCAGGTCTGGTGGTGTAAGATGACGTTATTTTACATGGAATGAAATGTACACATCTCAAGTGAATAATTTGAGAGTTTCAACAAATGCACGTGCCTATGTTACCAATTTAAAAGCCAAAATACACATCTTTCCATTATCTCTGAACCTTCCTTTGTGCTGGGCACTTCTCTGAAAACATTTGCCCTTGTTCACGTGTGTGTGTTAATAAGAATTCAAGTGTTTATATTTCATATGTATTCACAGATTTCACAGCTGTGAGCAATGAAACACCTTGGTGTGTATGGATGCGTATATTTCCATAAAGACAGAAATTTTCTGTTTTTCACAAATCCCCATGCTCTTTTTTTTTTCTGACTTATCACACTATTTTATTCAGAGATCACAAAGGTAAGTGATTGAAGCATTCTAAAATGTTTAGCACTCAACAGTTTACACCACAGTTCTGTTCAGTAAAACTGTCATCTTCAACTATACTTTTATCATCCATTCCAGATAGGTTTATCACTTAAATACAGTGTGCTACAATTAATTTTTCATACTAAGATCAAGATAGAATAAAATTACAAATACCTTCTGTGTATGGGAATCTAAAAGGATTTTCAAAATTATTCTTGAAAGGCTAATTTATTAGAATCTTTAATTGAAACTACATGTTTTAGTAAGTTTTTTCCTCCTAAAGTCATTTAAAAAAATTTTGATATCATTAATCACATGAGCAATATTATGGTTACTAGAGTACCCCGTTATCAAGTTCCCACCACATACACATTTACCTCACTGTCCATCAGTGTAGTAGGATGCTATAGAGTCACTACTCTTGTCTGTGCTATACTGCCTTCCTCGTGCCTGCCCCCCTATATTACATGTACTAATCGTAATGCCCCTTATTCCCCTTATCCCTCCCTTCCCAACCATTCTCCCCAGTCCCTTTCCCTTTGGCAACTTTTGGTCCATTCTTGGGTTCTGGGAGTCTGCTGCTGTTTTGTTCCTTTAGTTTTTGCTTGTTCTTATGCTCCACAGTTGAGTGAAATCATTTGGTACTTGTCTTTCTCTGCCTGGCTTATTTCACTGAGCATAATACCCTCTAGCTCCATCCATGTTGTTGCAAATGGTAGGATTTGTTTTCTTCTTATGGCTGAGTGATATTCCATTGCCTATATGTACCACATCTTATCCATTCATCTACTGGTAGACACTTAGATTGCTTCCATTTCTTCGCTATTGTAAACAGTGCTGCAATAAACGTAGGGGTGCATATATCTTTTTGAATCTGGTATCTTGTTTTCTTTGGGTTAATTCCTAGGAGTGGAATTCCTGGGTCAAATGGTATTTCTATTTTTAGTTTTTTGAGGAAACTCCATATTGCTTTCCACAATGTGTGAATGAGTTTACATTCCCACCTGCAGTGTAGGAGGGTTCCCCTTTCCCCACAACCTCACCAACATTTGTTGTTCTTTGTCTTTTGGATGTTGGCCATCCTAACTGGCATGAGGTGATATCTCATTGTGGTTTTAATTTGCATTTCTCTGATGATTGGCGATGTGGAGCATCTTTTCATGTGCCTGTTGGCCATTTCAATTTCTTCTTTGGAGAAGTGTCTGTTCAGAACCTCTAACCATTTTTTAATTGGATTATTTGCTTTTTGATTATTGAGGTACATGAGTTCTTAATGTATTTTGGATGTCGACCCCTTACCAGATATGTCATTTATGAATATATTCTCCCATACTGTAGGATGCCTTTTTGTTCTGCTGATGGTGTCCTTTGCTGTACAGAAGGTTTTTGGCTTTATATAGTCCCACTTGTTCATTTTTGCTTTTGTTTCTCTTGCCTGGGGAGATATGTTCATGAAGAAGTTGCTCATGTTTATGTCCACGAGATTTTTGCCTGTGTTTTTTTCTAAGACTTTTATGGATTCATGAGTTACATTCAGTTCTTTGCTCCATTTCAAATTTGCTTTTGTATATGGGGTTAGAAAATGATCCAGTTTCATTCTCTTACATGTAGCTGTCCAGTTTTGCCAACACCAGCTGTTAAAGAGGCTGTCATTTCCCCATTGTGTATCCATGGCTCCTTTATCATGTATTAATTGACCATATATGTTTGGGTTAATATCTGGACTCTGTATTCTGTTCCACTGGTCTGTGGGTCTGTTCTTGTGCCAGTACCAAATTGTCTTGATTACTGTGGCTTTGTAGTAGAGCTTGAAGTTGTGAAGTGAGATCCCCCCTGCTTTATTGTTCCTTCTCAAGATTGCTTCGTTATTTGGGGTCTTTTGTGGTTCTATATGAATTTTAGAACTATTTGTTCCAGTTCACTGAAGAATGTTGTTGTTATTTTGATAGTAATTGCATTGAATCCTTAGATTGCTTTAGGCAGGATGTCCATTTTCACAATATTAATTCTTCCTAGCCAAGAGCATGGGATGAATTTCCATTTTTTAGTGTCCTCTTTAATTTCTCTTAAGAGTGTCTTATAGTTTTCATGGTATAGGTCTTTCACTTCCTTGATTAGGTTTATTCCTAGGTATTTTGTTCTTTTTGATGCAATTGTGAATGGAATTGTTTTCTTGATTTCTCTTTCTGCTAGTTCATCATTAGTGTATAGGACAGCAACAGATTTCTGTGTATTAATTTCGTATCCTGCAACTTTGCTGAATTCAGATATTAGTTCTAGTAGTTTTAGAGTGGAGTCTTTATGGTTTTTTATGTGCAATATGATGTCATCTACAAATAGTGATAGTTTGACTTCCTCCTTACCAATCTGGATGCCTTGTATTTCTTTGTTTTGTCTAATTGCCATGGCTAGGACCCCCAGTAGTATGTTGAATAAAAGTTGGGAGAGTGGGCATCCCTATCTTGTTCTCCATCTTAGGTGAAGAGCTTTCAGCTTCTTGCTGTTAAGTATGATGTTGGCTGTGGTTTTGTCTTATATGGCCTTTGTTATGTTGAAGTACTTGCCCTCTATAACCATTTTGTTGAGAGTTTTTATCATGAATGGATGTTGAATTTTGTCGAATGATTTTTCAGCATCTATGGAGATGATCTTGTGGTTTATGTCCCTCTTTTTGTTGATGTGGTGGATGATGTTGATGGAATTTCAGATGTTGTACCATCCTTGCATCCCTGAGATGAATCCCATTTGATCATGGTGTATGATCATCTTGATGTATTTTTTAATTCTGTTTGCTGATATTTTGTTGAGTATTTTTGCATGTATGTTCATCAGAGATATTGGTCTGTAAGTTTCTTTTTTTGTGGTGTCTTTGCCTGGTTTTGGTATTAGAGTGTTGCTGGCCTCATAGAATGAGTTTGGAAGTATTCCCTCCTCTTCAATTTTTTGGAAAGCTTTAAGGAGAATGGGTATTATGTCTTCCGTAAATGTGTGATAAAATTGAGTGGTGTATTCACCTGTCATGCGGTTTGTTCTTTGGTGGTTTTTTTTATTACTAATTTGATTTTGTTGCTGGTATTTGATTTGTTTAGATTTTCTGTTTCTTCCATGGTCAGTCTTGGAAGGTTGTATTTTTCTAGAAAGTTGTCCATTTCTTCTAGGATATCCAGTTTGTTAGCATATAGATTTTTATAGTATTCTCTAATAATTCTTTGTATGTCTGTGGTGTCTGATTTTTCCTTTCTCATTTCTGATTCTGTTTATGTGTATAGATTCTCTTTTTCTCTTAGTAAGTCTGGCTAGGGGTTTATCTGTTTTTGTTTATTTTCTCAAAGAACTAGCTCTTGGTTTCATTGATTTTTTTCTATTGTTTTATTCTTCTCAATTTTATTTGTTTTTTCTCTGACCTTTATTATGTCCTTCCTTCTGCTGAATTTGGGCCTCATTTGTTCTTCTTTTTCCAATTTCAATAATTGTGACTTTAGACTATTCATTTGGGATTGTTCTTCCTTCTTTAAATATGCCTGGATTGCTATATACTTTCCTCTTAGAACTGCCTTTGCTGTGTCCCACAGAAGTTGAGGTTTTGTGCTGTTATCATTTGTCTCCATATATTGCTTGATCTCTGATTTAATTTGGTCATTGATCCAGTGATTATTTAGGAGCATGTTTTTCAGCCTCCATGTGTTTTGTTAGCCTTTTTGTTTTCTTTGTACAATTTATTTCTAGTTTTATACCTTTGTGGTCTGAAAAGTTGGTTCGTAAAATTTCAATCTTTTTGAATTTACTGAGGCTCTTTTTGTGGCCTTTGTGGTCTATTCTGGAAAATGTTCCATGTGCACTTGAGAAGAATGTGTATCCTGCTACTTTTGGGTGTAGAGTTCTGTAGATGTCTGTTAGGTCATTCTGTTCTAGAATATTGTTCAGTGCCTCTGTGTCTTTACTTATCTTCTGTCTGGTTGATCTGTCCTTTGGAGTGAGTGGTGTGTTGAAGTCAACTAAAATAAATGCATTGCATTCTATTTCCTCCATTAATTCTGTTAGTATTTGTTTCACATATGTCGGTGCTCCTATGTTGGGTGCACAGATATTTATAATGGTTATATCCTCTTGTTGGACTGAGCCCTTTATCATTATGTAATGCCCTTCTTTATCTCTTCTTACTTTCTTTGTTTTGAAGTCTATTTTGTCTGATACAAGTACTGCAACTCCTGTTTTTTTCTCCCTATTGTTTGTGTGAAATATCTTTTTCCATCCCTTCACTTTCAGTCTGTGTATGTCTTTCAGTTTGAGGTGAGTCTCTTGTATGCAGCATATAGATCTTGCTTTTTTATCCATTCGGTGACTCTGTGTCTTTTAATTGGTGCATTCAGTCCATTTACATTTAGGGTGATTATTGAAAGATATGTACTGATTGCC